GCATAGTATGTCTCTGAAGTATTAAAAATGAAGGCACAGTCGCAGTTTAGAAATTGCACTTCAAATTTGAGCTTTGCAGAGTGAAGTTTCAATGAATGTCAATGGACGGCGTTAGTTGCAAACAAATGATTATATTGTGAAAACTATCAGGACTATGGCTTAGCCGTTGACATGTTTAGTGGCAGCAGGGATAGCTGAACGTTTTGATATAAGATTTGTGTAGGTGGGCCTGAAAATAAGGGAGTGGTGGCAGTTTAGAAATCATGTCCTGATTTTTCAGCTTTTGCCAGCTCCCACTCTAGCTTTGCCATTCATTCCTATGGGACAAATTGTGCCACAAGAACGACGATATTCCGTGAACCATTCGGCGAAACGTTCCACAAAGTAATAGCAATCCGATCGGGAACAATCTGCACGTTTTGGTAAATTTTTGTCTATGTAGTGTAAAAACTGTGGGAGGAGTTAGGGTGGCAAATTTGGCTATAATAAGAATAATAATATATATGTGAGATAACATTAAGTGGTCTTGGTATGCTATAAATGTTATTATTGTTTTATATAATGTGTGATAATGGTGTATAATTTGATATAAAGTGTAATAACTCGGTATAAATGTTATTATAATTGGATATAATGTGTGATAACGTGTATAATTTGATATAAAGTGTAATAACTCGGAATAAATGTTATTATAACTGGATTTAATGTGCGACAACGGTGTATAATTTAATATAAAGTGTAATTTCTCGGTTAAATGTTATTATAGTTGGTTATAATGTGTGATAACGGTGTATAATTTGATATAAAGTATAATAACTCGGTATAAATGTTGTTATTATTGTTTTATTTAATGTGTGATAACGGTGTATAATATGATATAAAGTGTAATAACTCGGTATAAATGTTATTATTATTGGATTAATAGTGTATAATTATGACTGGGCCGACACATAGATCAACAGAGGACTCTGTGAGGCGATCCAGCCTGTTATAATTTGATTTAAAGTATAATCACTCGGTATAAATGTTATTATTGTTTTATTTAATGTGTGATAATGGTGTATAATTTCATATAATGTGTAATAACTTGGTATAAATGTTATTATTGGTGGATATAATGTGTGATAACGGTGTATAATTTGATATAAAGTATAAAAACTTGGTGTAAATGTTATTATTCTTTGATATAATGTGTGATAATGGTGTATAATTTGATATAAAGTATAATAGCTTGGTATAAATGTTATTATTATTGGATTAATGGTGTATAATTATGACTGGGCCGACACATAGGTGAACACAGGGCACTGTGAGGCGATCCAGCCCTTTATAATTTGATAAAAAGTATAATAACTCGGTATAAATGTTATTATAACTGGATATAATGTGTAATAACGATGTATAATTTGATATAAAGTGTAATAACTCGGTATAAATGTTATTATAATTGGATATAATGTGTGATAATGGTGTATAATTTGATATAAAGTGTAATAACTCAGTATAAATGTTATTATTGTTTGATATAATGTGTAATAATGATGTATAATTTGATATAAAGTGTAATAACTCTGTATAAATGTTATTATTGTTTGATATAATGTGTAATAATGGTGTATAATTTGATATAAAGTATAATAACTTGGTATAAATGTTATTATTATTGGATATAATGTGTGATAATGGTGTATAATTTGATATAAAGTATAATAACTCGATTTAAATGTTGTTATAGTTGGGTATAATGTGTGATAACGGTGTATAATATGATATAAAGTGTAATAACTCGGTATAAATGTTATTATTATTGGATTAATGGTGTATAATTATGACTAGGCCGACACAAAGGTGAACACAGGACTCTGTGAGGCGATCCAGCCCGTTATAATTTGATTTAAAGTATAATCACTCGGTATAAATGTTATTATTGTTTTATTTAATGTGTGATAATGGTGTATAATTTGATATAAAGTGTAATAACTTGGTATAAATGTTATCATAGTTGGATATAATGTGTAATAACGGTGTATAATTTTATATAAAGTGTAATAATGGTATAAATGTTATTATAACTGGATATAATGTGTGATAATGGTGTATAATTATGACTGGGCCGACACATAGGTGAACACAGGGCACTGTGAGGCGATCCAGCCCTTTATAATTTGATAAAAAGTATAATAACTCGGTATAAATGTTATTATAACTGGATATAATGTGTAATAACGATGTATAATTTGATATAAAGTGTAATGACTCGGTATAAATGTTATTATTGTTGGATATAATGTGTGATAATGGTGTATAATTTGATATAAAGTGTAATTTCTCGATTTAAATGTTGTTATAGTTGGGTATAATGTGTGATAACGGTGTATAATATGATATAAAGTGTAATAACTCGGTATAAATGTTATTATTATTGGATTAATGGTGTATAATTATGACTGGGCCGACACATAGGTGAACACAGGGCACTGTGAGGCGATCCAGCCCGTTATAATTTGATTTAAAGTATAATCACTCTGTATAAATGTTATTATTGTTTTATTTAATGTGTGATAATGGTGTATAATTTGATATAAAGTGTAATAACTTGGTATAAATGTTATCATAGTTGGATATAATGTGTAATAACGGTGTATAATTTTATATAAAGTGTAATAACGGTATAAATGTTATTATAACTGGATATAATGTGTGATAATGGTGTATAATTATGACTGGGCCGACACATAGGTGAACACAGGGCACTGTGAGGCGATCCAGCCCTTTATAATTTGATAAAAAGTATAATAACTCGGTATAAATGTTATTATAACTGGATATAATGTGTAATAACGATGTATAATTTGATATAAAGTGTAATAACTCGGTATAAATGTTATTATTGTTGGATATAATGTGTGATAATGGTGTATAATTTGATATAAAGTGTAATTTCTCGATTTAAATGTTGTTATAGTTGGGTATAATGTGTGATAACGGTGTATAATATGATATAAAGTGTAATAACTCGGTATAAATGTTATTATTATTGGATTAATGGTGTATAATTATGACTGGGCCGACACATAGGTGAACACAGGGCACTGTGAGGCGATCCAGCCCGTTATAATTTGATTTAAAGTATAATCACTCTGTATAAATGTTATTATTGTTTTATTTAATGTGTGATAATGGTGTATAATTTGATATAAAGTGTAATAACTTGGTATAAATGTTATCATAGTTGGATATAATGTGTAATAACGGTGTATAATTTTATATAAAGTGTAATAACGGTATAAATGTTTTATAACTGGATATAATGTGTGATAATGGTGTATAATTATGACTGGGCCGACACATAGGTGAACACAGGGCACTGTGAGGCGATCCAGCCCTTTATAATTTGATAAAAAGTATAATAACTCTGTATAAATGTTATTATAACTCGATATAATGTGTAATAACGATGTATAATTTGATATAAAGTGTAATAACTCGGTATAAATGTTATTATTTTTGGATATAATGTGTGATAATGGTGTATAATTTGATATAAAGTGTAATTTCTCGATTTAAATGTTGTTATAGTTGGGTATAATGTGTGATAACGGTGTATAATATGGTATAAAGTGTAATAACTCGGTATAAATGTTATTATTATTGGATTAATGGTGTATAATTATGACTGGGCCGACACATAGGTGAACACAGGGCACTGTGAGGCGATCCAGCCCGTTACAATTTGATTTAAAGTATAATCACTCTGTATAAATGTTATTATTGTTTTATTTAATGTGTGATAATGGTGTATAATTTGATATAAAGTGTAATAACTTGGTATAAATGTTATCATAGTTGGATATAATGTGTAATAACGGTGTATAATTTTATATAAAGTGTAATAATGGTATAAATGTTATTATAACTGGATATAATGTGTGATAATGGTGTATAATTATGACTGGGCCGACACATAGGTGAACACAGGGCACTGTGAGGCGATCCAGCCCTTTATAATTTGATAAAAAGTATAATAACTCGGTATAAATGTTATTATAACTGGATATAATGTGTGATAATGGTGTATAATTTGATATAAAGTGTAATTTCTCGATTTAAATGTTGTTATAGTTGGGTATAATGTGTGATAACGGTGTATAATATGATATAAAGTATAATAGCTTGGTATAAATGTTATTATTGTTTGATATAATGTGTGATAATGGTGTATAATTTGATATAAAGTGTGATTTCTCGATTTAAATGTTATTATTATTGGATTAATGGTGTATAATTATGACTGGGCCGACACATTGGTGAACACAGGGCTCTGTGAGGCGATCCAGCCCGTTCCACCTTAAATGTGCGCCGTTGAGAGGGGGCGTGTCGATGGGCGGGGCCAGCGGAGAGCGCTCATTTTTTTTTCTTTTCAAAAAAAGCTAAAGGCGAAAAACCGGCAGCGCGTGAGCAGGAGAGGGAGGGGGGAGGAGGGAGGAGGAGGGAGGAGAGGGGCAACAAGGGCGAGAATGGGGGCGGGGGGACATATAGACCTGGAAGGTAATCCCAGCTGTCTATGGATAGAAATAGAGGGCAGAGGAGATTATAGGGGAGGCAGCATTGATTGACATGGGGGGAGAGGAGGGGACAGCATTGATTGACAAGGGGGACAGCATTTGGGGTGGCAGCATTTTGACATGGGGGGGACAGCATTGGTTGACATGAGGGGGGACAGCATTGATGACATGACAACCATGGGACATGATAGCATTGATGACATTGACGCCATGGGGGGCACTGATTGACATTGTTGATAGCTGATTGACATGGGGACAGTTACTGACATGGGGACAGCATTGATTGACATGGGGGGAAACAGCATTGATTGACAATATGGGGGGGAGGACAGCATTGATTGACATGGGGACAGCATTGATTGACATGGGGAGGGGGACAGCATTGATTGACATGGGGGGGAGAGGGCGTACAGCATTGATTGACGTGGGGTGAGTGGGGGCAGCATTGATTGACATGGGGTGCAGCATTGATTGACATAAGGGGAGTGGAGGTGGGGGAAGCATTGATTGACATGGGAGGCAGCAGTATTGATTGACATGGGGTGAGTGGGGGGGCAGTATTGATCGACATGAATAGAAAGGGGGAGCAGGCATACGTTCCCCCCAAGATGTCGCGAGGCTCCGACTCTCAGAATGCCCAGGATGAAGATGAATTCAGGTTGGGGTGGGGAGTAACTGTGGTGGGTTTTGCTTGTGGTTGGGGAAGGGTGGGTGGATAATTTACCAGGGGCGGGGAGTAGAATGTGGTAAGGATCATGTGGTGGGAGGGGGGGGGGTCAGGAGGATTTTGGGGGGCGAGCTCTGATATGCAAGATGGACCCAGTGTGACAGCAGCTGTGAGATGGGGAGGAGGTAACAGGACAGGGGACATAGAGACAGGACAGGGGACATAGAAACAGGACAAGGGGCATGGAGAAACAGGACAGGGTACATGGAGAAACAGGACAAGGGGCATGGAGAAACAGGACAGGGGACATAGAGACAGGACAAGGGGCATGGAGAGACAGGACAGGGTACATGGAGAAACAGGACAAGGGACATAGAGACAGGACAAGGTACATGGAGAAACAGGACAGGGGGCATAGAGACAGGACAAGGGGCATCGAGAGACAGGACAGGATACATGGAGAGGCAGGACAGGGGACATGGAGAGGCAGGACAGGAGGCATGGAGAGACAGGACAGGGGACATGGAGAAACACGACAGGGGACATGAAGAAACAGGACAGGGGGCATGGGGACAGGCCAAGGGACATGGGAATGAGTTAGGGCAGTGGCAGTAGAGGGGGACAGTGACAGAACTTAAGGAGTGGGGGAAGTTTGGCTGATATTGTATATTTGCACATACTTTGCACACAATGCCCAGCCTTGCCCACAGCTGGCATTTTACGTCACTCTAAAGTTGGATCCATGGATGGGTTCACTCAGTACCCCTGCTCTGCCATTGGGCTCCCTGTCTCTGTACACACTGGATGTTGGGCTGTGAGAGAGTGTCAGAAGCTGCTCTGGAGATCCTGCTCTGAATACATAGCTCTACATCACCCAGGGCTGAATGCTGCATTCTGTCTCAGTGTTTGGAGTCTGTACCTGCATTGTGTTTTTACAAGTCACCTGGAGATTGATACTTTGTATCCAGGATGCTGCTCACTGTTTTTATACTGGATGTGCACCATGGACCATTACTCTGCAATGTGAATGATCGTGGTGGCTCAGCTCACTCTGTATCCTGAGAATGCTGCCTGCAATGACAACGGGCAGAGCTGCAGCCACTGAGGTCTGGATGGAAGGTAGGACAATTGGGCTTATTAGGGACAGACTGGAGGACACAGAGGGGAAGAAGGCAGAAACTAAGCAGAATGAGAGTGGGAGTCCTAGAACAGAGAGATCAATGCTGTCCATCACTAGATCAGTGAGTTTGTGGCTCCACTAAGAGAGATTGGAGGTTTCTGAAGATGAAGCAGTTACATGGTGTCATCTGCACTATTTTTTTAAAGTTTGTTACTGTATATTAAAGTTTGTTACTGTATATTAAAGTTTGTTGATGGAGGATAATATTGGAGTTGAAAGGCAGTTATAGGAGTCTACAAGGAGATTAAAGTTTAACTTGGGAGATAAATATACATTTGAACTATACTGAACCATTGATGGGTTGTTAATGATGGATGCTGCAGTAAATATAAATTATACTGAGGACTGCAGGACAGGTTGTTAAGGGAGCATGCTGGTAGCCTGTGGAGTAGATTGAAGAAGGCTGCTAAGGGAGCCATTGGAGATAGATTGATGGAGGCAGCTAAAGGTGCTATTAGGGCAGACTGAGGGAGGCAGCTAAGGGAGTTATTAGAATAGATTGGGGGTGCGGAGGGCTGTTAGGGAAGCCTCTAAAACAGATTGCTTGAGGCTGTTAAGGATAGATTGAGAGGGTCGTTGAGGAAGCCTCCAGGATAGATTTTGGGAGGCTGTACATTAGGCTGAAGGAGGCTGTAGAGACTGTTAAGGTGGTCTGTAGGTTAGACTGGAGGATGTTTCTAAGGTAGACTGAATAATAGGCTGGGGGCTTGTAAGATAATTTTGGGGGAATGTAGGCTAGGTTGGGGAGACTGTTATGATTAGTTATTGGATAGATGGAGGGAGGCTGTGGAAAAGGTAAGGCAGGTATGACAGTTAGCAGGAGAGTATGTTGGTGATGGTGGCGTTTGGGGTGATGGTGGTGATTGGGGTGAGCTTGCTAGGTGGGGGCAGTAAGGGGGCAGAAGAGGAGCCTGCTCCTGCAGAATGGAAGGAGGCAATATTAGAAAGGAGTAGTTGGAGGGGGGAGGCTACAGGAGGGGCCCATCACGTGTGCCCGGGGGCGGGGACCTGGCAAGGGCTTCTTTACGAGTATTTACTACGAGCAATCCCCCCTATGAGCTCAGAGCCCCGGCTGTCAGGCTGCCCATGCCATGCCCCACTAACCCTCTCCACAGGACCCCCGCCCAGCATGGCAGACCCTCTAGGGGACCTGATCTCAGCGGCTGCTGCCAGGGGGGAGCTGGAACAGCTAGAGGACCTGCTTCGGGGGGCACCGGACGTGGATGTACCCAATAAATTCGGGAGGACAGCCCTGCAGGTGGGTGTGTGTGCCCTGAGGGTATGGGGGGAGGGGGCAGGTGAACATCTCTGTAATGATGCAAGCTTGGGGGGGTGGGGGGGGAGTGCAGGCCAGAGGAACATAAAGGGTTAACAGCCCCCAAACTTATTTCCCGGGGGCCCCCCATCTGGCAAGGGCTTCTTTACGAGTATTTACTACGAGCAATCCCCCCTATGAGCTCAGAGCCCCGGCTGTCAGGCTGCCCATGCCATGCCCCACTAACCCTCTCCACAGGACCCCCGCCCAGCATGGCAGACCCTCTAGGGGACCTGATCTCAGCGGCTGCTGCCAGGGGGGAGCTGGAACAGCTAGAGGACCTGCTTCGGGGGGCACCGGACGTGGATGTACCCAATAAATTCGGGAGGACAGCCCTGCAGGTGGGTGTGTGTGCCCTGAGGGTATGGGGGGAGGGGGCAGGTGAACATCTCTGTAATGATGCAAGCTTGGGGGGGTGGGGGGGGAGTGCAGGCCAGAGGAACATAAAGGGTTAACAGCCCCCAAACTTATTTCCAAGCCCCCCATCAGATCCTGGGTCTGGGTTGTATCCAGCCTGACCCTTAGAATGTGTATTAACCCAAAATACAGAACCAGCAGAAAAAAAACCCCAAAACAATAACCCCCCCCCCCCCCCCCCCCCCCTCCATATATTCGACTCTGATATTTACTTACCTCCGTGAGGAAAACGTGATCAACGCGTTATAAATAAGACCTTACATCCACCAGAGAGTATACATGCTTCGGGCAGCAAGGGGTTAACGCGGTCAGTAATCCCATCAAATAAGCCCAGATCACGTAAGAGTTTGCCACATTGTATACATGCTGTGTTAAATTCTCCCAGCACTGAAATGGTTCGGATTTTATTTGTATATTTTGAAATGACTATTATTTATTTAACCCCTTGATTTGGAGCCTGTGACACTTGGCTTTTGCCTTTTCGCCCACGTGCTATACAGCACCTTCCTTTTTTTATAATGAAACTCTATATAGTACAAGCAGTCAACGTATCTCACAGAGAATGCAGGACCAGGGATACTCACTGTATGTTTCCATTGTAAAAGTAACTGAATGACAAAATGTTACATTGTCAGAATTGGAGCATCTGTAAACAGAATATCCAAGCCACGATGACTTACTGTGAAGACAGCTCTGACTAATTTCAGGGTCCAAACAGGTAGACAGATCATCAAATATAAACCGATTGCAGGGTTCTCACTAAGGTCATGTGTGAATTGTTAGCTTTAAAAGTGGAATCAAAGTTAATTTAACATTTTAGATTAAAAAATCCCCCCGTTTGGATATATTTTCGAATTGGCTACTTTGGCCTATTATTTTAAATGAGCTCTGAATTTCGCCTTAATTCCCGGCAGTTCATATACTGTGTGTGTTGAATAAAATGCAGTTACCGTATGTGTGTATGTATATAATATACAGATAGTGTGTTTTATACACATTTTTGTGTACATATATGTAATATTTATATATATACATGCACTCATGGAATTTGAAATACCTAAATTCAGGTAATCCCCTCTCTGCATATGTTAGCGTGTATTTGACTCAAGCATATATATTTATTAGTGTATTTTTACATAAATATAGCGACATACAGATTTTATATGGTGAACGAAAATATAAAAACATTTGATATATGTTATATCAAATATTTTGTGTGTAGTATGTATATCCATCTATCTCAAAAATTGAAAAATTTAGGCCTATACAAGTCAGTGCGTGTGTATATATTTTTATATATATATATATATATATATATATATATAAATATATATATATATATATATATATATATATATATACAGTATATTATTATTATTATATATAACGTGTGTAGTGTGTATATATTATATATAAAATATTATCTATATAATGTCTGTATGTGCGAGTGTTTGTATAGATAGTGTGTATATTTGTTATATACATATTATGAGTGTGTGTATGTGTATGTATATATATATATATAGTGTGTGTGTGTGTGTATTATATATATATATATTATATATTTAATTAGTGTGTTTTTATATTATATATATATATATAATGTGTGTGTTTGTGTTTTTTATATATCATGTGTGTGTATTCTATATATCATGTGTGTGTATTCTATATATAATGTGTGTGTATATATTTTATTATATACATAATTTGTGTGTGTGTAAATTATATATATAATGTATGTGTAGTGTGGGTGTACATATTATATATATATATATATATATATATATAATGTGTGTGTATATATTATATATAATGTGTGTGTTTGTGTGTGTGTGTGTAAATTATTAATATACACTGTGTGTGTAGTTTGGGTGTATATATTATATATATAATGTGTGTGCATTATATATTATATAATGTGTGTGTGTGTGTGTGTGTGTAAATTATATATTATATAATGTGTGTGTGTGTGTGTATTATATATTATATGTGTGTGTGTGTCGTGTGTGTATATTATATATGTGTGTGTGTATATACATATTATATATATATATATATATATATATATATATATATATAATGTGTGTGTAGTGTGTGTATATATTATATATATAATGTGTGTGTAGTGTGTGTATATATCATATATATAATGTGTGTGTAGTGTGGGTGTATATAATATATATATATATATATATAGATAGATAGATAGATAGATAGATAGATAGACAGATAGATAATGTGTGTGTATTATATAATGTGTGTGTAGTGTGGGTGTTTATCTGGCAGTGTATATGTATGTAAAAAGATTCAAACATATAATTTTGCATTTACATCCAATCTTATTAAATCTGATATAAACCTTCTAGTTTTAGTGTGCCCACTGACTGGATAAGCTGGTATATGCAGAGTACCCAAACAGAGTGCCCCATACAATACCTTGCATCACTCCTATTGCTCTATTTCCCTGTTATTACTCCAGTCATCCCTATGACCTGAATGTTGTTTAGACAGGAGAAATAATAAAAATCATAGTACATATGTATCTTTCCCAGATGTTTGCATTAGTTGCTGAAATGACAGAATACTGACTTCTAACGTGCTCTTCTTAGTATTTTGGCAAAGCAAAAATTCAAAAACTGCTTCCTTCTCTGAGAAGGATTTGATAGGCCTCAATTTACAGTATGTCCAGAAAATGAAAATCTGACACAAGGATCTCCGTGTGTCTTAAGCCTTTAGAACTTCAGTAAGGATGGGGGTGCCTGTGTCAATTTATTTTTGGGGGGAACATTTTAAAAGTATTGCAATCACCATGGCAACCAATTAAAAGTTGCTACAAATTAATTCATCTATTGAACTTTGCTCCAAAATGTTTCTATCTCCTAATTTATACTCTACCAAACCAACACTTTTTAGCTCAATCCACGTGATCCATGCACTCTTATTAAGGGAATAATTTATCTTGATTTATATTATTTATTATAATTTTTCTTTTTTTAATTTTTGGGAATTTTGGAATATAGCAAATATATCATTATTATTATTATTATTATTATTATTATAATATTTTCTCCTCTCTGAGAAAAATATATTTTCCTTATTTTTCTTTCTTATAAATATTGTAACATAAAACTGACTACATCTTTGCTGATAATTTGTGCAATTTTAAAAAATGGAATAGGCAACAAAGTGATTGGAGTAAGGGACTTACTTTCTCACATTTATAACCATAATATGGCCCACGTTTGTATTGCTTTAATGAAATTTGGCTTGGGTTAAATCTTGATATCTCAGTGTTAATAAAACAACAGGGTGTAATAAATTAAGAAAGACGATCATTTAGAGGCAGATCTAAATTTAGCATCATATATTAATACGTTTTGTTTCATTCTTAACATTCTGTTGCTTTTAACATTTATTTTCATTAAATATTGATATTAAATTTATTCTAGCAAAACTCTGTCTTTATCCAAAACATTTTGACTTTTTTTTTGTTATTTTATTTCACTTATAAAATTAACCGTAATGGCAAGAAATGTAGCTTTCATTTCACAGAGTATATTACTAATCTTCTAATATCCCAAGTAAAGCAAATACATAAATAAAATCGTTTTTAATGAATATAAGATATACCTATATAGTAATATTCGGGATGTTGTATTCCCAAAACGGTACGAGGACGCTCTGTCAGACTCATGATGTAAAATGATGTATACATTGGTGGTTTGTCCACTAAACAGTGACTTCACATACTATTTGTAGAAAGTAGTCTCTCTCACAGCTATAATAGAGAAAATAAGAACTGATCTAATCAGCTAACCTGGAGATATTTGTTTTTCAATTTATCTTGGCAACCGTGGCCTAATTTTTTGTAAAGTGGCCATCAACTATTTTTCTAACGTTTTATCTCACTGTTTAGTGAATATACCCCTTTGTCATTGTATCAGTGTATCGAGTAGTGTTGTCCATCTATGCCACTGTTTGTAAACAACTGGGGATTGTTGATACATTGTTGCAATGAAACGACAGTCCTTTAACCCTTTGTGTGCTCAGTGACCTGCAATCCTGTCTGCTCTCCTGTCAGTGAGGAATAGTACATGTACCTGTCATTTTACTCTTTTCATACAATAACAAACATCTGAAAGGCTGTCTACAGCATGATCCTTCCTAATCCTTAGTACACCTTGACACACCTTACCTGAGATAAGATCTGTTTATTATAGCGACATCCGCCTGTCTGGGGCTATGACCTCAGGTGGGGGCAAAGGCAATGGCAAACCCCATAGACATAGACACACGTTATTAACAAACTATTAACCAGGAATTAACAAGCTCGCCCAATTTACTATTGCTCCCACAAATAGGAGCTAGCTGGTTTTATTCACAGGTGTATTGTATAGCTTCTTACAATATAGTGGATTTAATCGATATGGCATTAGCTGGGCTTAGAGAATGGATGATATTTATCTGCTGTGAGCAGGGTAGAGGCCTGTCTGTCTGTCAGGCTGTGTCTGTCTGCCAGGCTATTTCTGTCTGTACATGTGAGTGGATGTTTTGCTATGATTGTCTTTATCTACACGTGTCTCTTGGCATATAGATGTGTGTTTGTATATGAATGTGTGTGTGTGTGTTTGTGTGCCTGTCTGTAGATACACACACACATATTACAACACATGTCCAACGTTTTAAAAAAAATCTTTAAAAAAAATCTGCTTGACGAAATATCTGGCAAACACGTTTTTATTGCACAAATATGTACAAACCTATAGATATAACTACAGAGATATACACACCTCAGTGTAATATGATCTACATGTCCATCTGCATGGCAACACATTTATTCTTATTATATATGTAGACTTTTAGATGTGTGTATGTTTATATATATATATATATATATATATATATATATATAGATATATGTGTGTGTTTATATATTTATTGATATATGTGTGTGTGTTTAGATATATACATATATATTAATATGTGTGTTTATATATATATATATATATATATAGATAGATATATGTGTGTGTGTTTATATATATATTGATATATGTGAGTGTGTTTATATAGATATATTGATATGTGAGTGTTTATATATATATATATATATTAATATATGTGTGTGTGTTATATATATATATATATATATATATATATATTGATATATATGTGCGTGTGTGTTTAGATATATATATATTGATATGTGTGTGTGTTTATATATATTGATATATTGATATATGTGAGTGTGTTTATATATATATACTGATATATGTGTGTGTGTTTATATATTTATTGATATATGTGTGTGTGTTTATATATTTATTGATATATGTGTGTGTGTTTATATATATATATATATAAAATTATTTTTTTCCATATAATATACTCAGACTTATACACAGATATTTATGTGCATACTCAGGCCTTTAGGCGGATATGTATAGGTATGTTCACTAAATGTAAGCAGAACTATTTACATATTTTTAGACCTATATCATATTATAAACCTAGAACTGTAAAGAGGAATTTACACATAAATTCTTGCAGACGGATATTTATTCATATCTTCAATGTATACACTCAGACCTGTAGATGGATTTATTCATATTATATATTCAGACCTATAGACTAATATTTACACATATATTCATATTATGCACTCATACTTACAGACAGATGTTTACACGTAATCACACTCTATACAATAAATATTACACATATATTCACATCATGTATTCTGACAAATATTGCACATATATTCATTTTACATAGCCAGACCTACAGACAGATGTATTTTCTTTTAATATATTATAGATAGATATTAATTATTGCCAGACATATAAATACATTTATATATGTAATATATCTTCTTATAATACATTCAAACTTATAGACACATATTTGCTTCTATGATATCATCAGCGATATATACACTATATTCATATAACTAACCAATAGCCACACATTATATATTATATAATCAGACATATAGACTGATATATTCATATTATACTCTTAGATTTATAAATAGATATTTGGACCTGTCATCGTAATATATCCTAAATCTATAAATGTTGTTATACACACATTGTTATTTTACAATTATTACTATAAATATTTGTACACGTATTTATATTATATACTCGAATTTATAGACAAATATTTGCACGTGTGTATATATCATATATTCATACATATAGACAGATATGATCTCATATTCATATTATGTTACCAACACTGTATAGACAAACATTAAACACATACTATTATAAAGTAAGAAATATGGGTCTATTTACACTTATACATTTCTATTAATTACTCAGCCCTTTAGGGACAGATATGAATTCATATTACATCTCTAGCCCTATAGAACTATATTGCATAGATATATATAATATATTATTATTATTATTATTATTAATAATAATAATAATATTACAGTACCTTATAGATTTATTTGCACTTGAATATTGAGACCTATAGACAGGTACTCATACTATATACTCAGTCCTTCAGATAATAATTGACCCATGTGTTCATTAGCAATGGTTATTTAGTAAACGGAGACTTCAAAGTTAGTTCAATGTAAGGCAAAAGTAGATGAATTTGAGAAATTCTCCAAGTCAGTTAGGATTTTAGTTTGGCTAGTTAGTGAATAACCCTGTATATACTCAGACCTGTAGAGAGATATTTACATTTATACAGATATTATATATTCAGACATACAGACATATGTTTACATTTAAAGCTAATATTATTATATACTCAGATCTATAAATAATATATATATATATATATATATATATATTCATATTATATACTCAAACCTATACAGATAGCTTTACACATATATTTATATAATAAATCCAGACTTACAGGCAAATATTTGCACATATATTCATATAATATATTCAGAAATGTCGATAAATATTTACACAAAGATTCATATATATAGACAAATCGACAGAAATGTATATTAATGCTGGTATACACCCAGAACCTAGCCAGTTATTTACACATATATTTATATTATATAGACAGTCTTATAGATTATACACCACGCACAGCACACTGTAGATAGATCTAGATTACATATAGATAGGTAGATTGCAGATTTATTAAAGTGGATTTAAAAAAAGAAATGATTAAATTATAGTGGAGCTTTTTTCTCATTGTAAACGTGAGGAAAACGAAATGATACTAAATGGCTATTTTAGTAGTTAGTCGCCTTATACATGTATTGTAATCAACTGTATCCAACCACTGAAGATGTGAGATGGAATTATTGTGATTTGACTGGTGAATGGAATCCGAGTGATATGAATGGTAAATGGAATCCTAGTGCATGGCCAGGCAACCTTCAACACTTTACATGTTTTGGACTACACCTCCCATCATACTTTGCCATCAATATGGCTGTTGGAGCATTATGGGAGATGCAGTCCACAACATCTCGAGTGCTGAAGGTTACCTACCCCTGTCGTAGTAAAATGCCTGCTGAATGAGATCCTTGTGATGTTACTGGTGAATGGAATCCTAGTGATGTGACTGGTGATTGGAATCAGAGTGATGTTTCTGGTGAATGGAAGCAGAGTGATGTTTCTGGTGAATATAATCCTAGTGATGTAACTGGTGAATAGAATCCTAGTAAAATTGGATGAATGGAATCACAGAGCTGTTTTTGTCTCCCCAGGTGATGAGGTTGGGAAATCCAGCCATTGCCAGGGCTCTGCTCAGTAGAGGTGCTAACCCAAATCTAAGAGACAGCACTGGGTTCTCGGTTCTCCACGATGCAGCCAGGGCTGGCTTCCAAGACACTGTGCAGACCCTGCTCCTTTACCAGGCCGATGTCAACATCCAGGATAACGAGGGCAACCTACCCCTTCACCTGGCAGCCAAGGAAGGTCACCTACCGGTAGTCAGATTCCTGATTGGGCACACAGACACCAAGGTGGGCCACCGGAATCGTCATGGGGAAACCCCCTGTGACATGGCCAGACTGTACAACAGGGAGGATGTGTTTCAATGGATGCAGTCCTATACTAGGGGCCAGGGTGCTGACCTGAAATAAAGGCAGCAGGGGGTCACCGTGGACAGATCATAGACCCTCTCTCCAAGACACAGGGGTTACCTAGCAGAACATTCATTGACATGAGTTGCTGATCCATCCAGGAGAGGAATGGTTAAAACATTTTCTTCAATTCCATCTTTTTCCATTCTTTATTTTTTTTTCTAAAGGACTTTCTCATTCTGAGTTAACCTCCATCAGACACACAGAAGGTCTCTAGATTGATTTATTATATTATTGCCCAATAATAATGTGAGCTATAATGGGAGGGGTGGGTGGGAGAATCCTAGAGCACTATCATGGGGGGAGGGAGCCCCAAAAAGAAGCTAGAGTGGGGTTCAAAACCTGAAATGTAGGAAATATAGATGTTCCAATTTTTTTTTACAAATACATCAAATGTTAATTTCACGTAGCAAAATCTACCAATGTGTAACCATTTCAAAGCCAATATGAGTTTATATCAGCCTCTTCTTGGCCTTGAACGGTTTATTTGTATTATTTTTTTTATCTTTATTTTTGCACGAGTTTCAATAATTGGTCTGTTCCTAAATATGTCCTTATCCATTGTGCAATGTGATGTGTATATCCATTTATAGCTGGATGTGATCTATAATATAATAAATATCATCTGCCTGCTTAGTATGAGCTGTAAGGGTTCAGTACCATTAATATCAGTATTATGAAACGAAATTTAACTTCACATTCTGTCAAAGTGTTCTGTTTATGATGTCCTATGCACAGCCTTAAATTCCATGCTACGTGCCTGCTCTGTGATCTGCTCAAAGACACACAGTGATTGGGAGATAATTCACTGTATAGAAAAAATCATTTGTTATTTTTAAAAAAATGCTTCATTCAGAAAACGGTTCCTTTATTTCGTTTCAGTTTTACAAACTCAAGAATAAAGAAGTCCAGTTACTTTGCCTGCTTACATTTTCTTTCATGCAATTAGGATATTTTACACTTTAAAAACTTGCTTTTGCACCACTGGCAGTGAATGTGTTAATGTGACACAGGATTAAAAAAAATTATAATAATAAAATGAAATGTATATATCAGAGACTGTGAATATTCCCTCAGTTATGAAGGTACGTGGGGGGTAGGGGAGGGGGGGCGGTGGTGGTGTGTGAAGCATGCTTTCAATGGCTTTTCCCCCCTGCTTTTTACTAATTCATTAAATCATCTATTGATTGATTAATGTATATGATTTAAAGAGACAGACTTGTATGTTTTTCAAAAAATGTTTACAGATTTGTATTAACAATTAACATCTTATAATTAAATCGACAGTATACATTTCAGATTTGTTCTGAACTTTTGATTCTGTTCATGTCTTTAAAATAAAATGCTAATTCTTAATTCATCTACACACTAAATGATAAAATGGCAGTTCAATTCTTATTGTTTGCCAATCTTTTTCAACTTTCAAACAAAAATGCACACGAGTAGATCAGACTTTTTATAAATATGATAATATTATTATTAGTAGTAGTAGTATTATAATTATTATTTATAAAACGCCAACAAATTCGCAGCGCTGTACAACAGGTGGACTAACAGAGAAGTTTTTGCAATAAGACAAGTTAAACACCCAGGAACAGAAGGTATTAAAGGTCCTGCTCAAATAAAGGTACCTGTCTGGGCCTGTTAATTGCATTATATTTTTGTTTATTTTGCACGTGATCTGATAACCGTTATGTTACATATATTATATTATCTTCTTTTATTACAAGGCCTTGTCTTGTTATTTTTAAATCCACACGTCCTATGAGTGACTGTTACTCATATACACATTTATTTACTAAAATGAGTATAAAAGTGGTCTTGAAATTTAAGGCCAGAGTAGCTGAGCCCAAAGCATAGATGACTTGGAGAATTGTTCATGTTCGGCTATTTTGACCTTAAATTTTAAATTCACTTTGAATTCTCACTGTAGTTCATAACCCTGAAAATATTTATTTTATATTTTGTATTACAGCAAAAATTGTGGAGTCCCCAGTACTCCAGTGAGGAGACCTATACAGGGTTATTTACTAAACTGAGAATTCAAAGTGACTTTAAAGCGAATTTCACATTTAAGACCAAAACAGCGAACTGGAAGTATACCTGAATGAAATCATTCTTCCAGTTTCTCAGTTTTGGCTTTAAGTTTAAAATATAGGTTGAATTCTTACTTTTGGGAATAACTCTGTTAGAATTGGGCAAATTAAAAATGCCTTTTTAATTCCATTAAATAACCAAAGCAGGCACAGTATAGAGACAACACTCTATCTGCATATTGTCTGTGCTTTCAGTTTCGGGCTTTTTAAAGGAATTGTAACAGTTATTGTTAAGTTTGATTCGATTTACACAAAGCTTCTTATTCCAGATCATTCGCGTTTTTAAACAGGTGTGTATTTCCAGGCAATTGATCTATGGTCAATCGAATATCGACTACAATAAATATTTGGCCTATGGAGTGCACGTTTCCTGATCACATTCACATCTCAAACCCTCTGCAGCAGTGAGCAAATCACAATTTATTTGGAATAATTTCAGATCAATAAATTGAATTCAAGTGACTCTGTCTGTCTGTCTGTAAGCTTTGGCTCTGCAGATTTTTTTGGGGATGTCTGAGTGTCATGAGATTTACAGTGCCATTTTAACCATGTAGCAAGGAGTGTTGTTTTTAAGGGAGACAAGTGGTGAGTTTAAGCCACTTTTGAAACATGTTTTGGTATCACTGACAGATCTACGTATCTCTGAATTATTAGAACAGGGATTAGATGAGATGTTTTCAAAATCGGTTTTAGTAAATTTGTTCAATCATTTCTGTTGTTTCATATTTTAGTCATTTTCAAAACCACACGATACCTAGAAAGTCTTGGAGATGTGTTATTGTGATACAAAAATATATCTATACACAATCATATATATACATACATGTATTGGAGAAAACGTGAATATATATATAGAACATGAATAGCATATTTAAAATATTTATTGCATTGTTTTGTTTTAAATAAATAGAGAGACAGCGACTCGTTTTAAGAGAATAATTATACATTCTTATATATCACACGATTAACAGTCATTAGAATATGAAGGTGAGGCAAGGGGCATAATGTTTATTAATTTATTCATATTTAATGTTAGAATATAATACCATTATTACAGCTGCAGTTATAGGTTTTAATAAGGTTTAATGCCATGGTTGGATTTGTTATTTATTATCTAAATGAGTGTATTTTGTTTTATAATACAATCCAATATATATAGAATTATTTACAACACGTCCAAATCGCTACATATGAAGTAACAGTTAATGCATTTAAATATAATACAATACAGCTACAACTAATGTAAACAAGGAGATCTTTATAACGTTTACAGACAGATTCAGAGTAGGTAAGTTTGAATTTACCTAGAATATTATAAAATGTTTTTATAAAATGTGTTTACTGAATTCTTAATTATTGTTAAAGTGAAATCATTAGAAAAGCTAAATTATATCCATTACTGCGATATAAATAAGTAAAAATGATCTCAAACGAAATACAGAAAAAAATAGGAACATTTAACTCAAATAGCTAAAATGTGCGGATAGATTATATTAAATGTCACATATCTATGAATTCACACGCTCTCAGTCTGCTCGAATGGAAGCTGACTGGCTGTCACCCCCTCCCCCAGATCCAGGGAGTTAAATTAATATTTAGGGATTTTATATAAAATCATTGCCCCCCCCCCTCCTTCCCCCTACAGCCAGGCAGAAAATAGCTTTACAGAGACATGGACCTAATAGAATTGAGTGACCTCTAAAATAAAAGCAGTAGAAACTGGATCTAGCAACGAATAGGTTAAAATAATACTCCTCCCTGCCCTCCTCCCCCTTCAGTCTCCCAACACAGTCTCCGGAAAGAAAATGCTAATATAAATGTGACAGGGGGAGGGGGAGGCTGTGCAAAATCTCCATGGGTGACTTCCACCCTGCTAAATTTACAGGGGGTTATTCACACCTTGTTATATGGACAAGGGATGG